GTAAAAACAGCGCACACCGGGCTGTGGCTCCAATGTGTCCCCTCCAAAGTTCAGGTGTTGAAACTTAATGGCCAATGGTAGGACCTTTACGAGGTGATTAGGCCATAAAGGCTCCTCCCCTGTGAATGGGATTAAAGCCTTTATAAAAGAGGCCACACGCAGCATTCACCTCTGTCATGCTTCTGCCTTGCGCCACGTGAGGACACAGTGTTCCTCCTTCCAGAGGATGCAGCATCAAGGAGCCACTTGGAAGCAGAGAGCAGCCTTCACCAGACAAGTGAACCTCTGGCACCCTGACCTTGGACTTCCCAGCCTCTAGAACTTCAAGAAAATAAATTTCTGTTCTTTATCAGTGACCCAGTCTCAGGCATTCTTAGTCATAGCAGCACAAAACAGGGCAAGGCGCACAGCTCCCTTTTGTTTCTTAGCCTAACTTACGCCACCCCTGTGAATTCGGCACAGGGCCTGTGGCCTCATGCCCTAAGGAAGTGCTCCAGGCAGTTGGTGGCCGCAGTTAACCTCATTTATAAGAAAGAATAAAACACGGTCCCTTGTGGCCACAGCAAGGTGAGACTCTCCTCCCCAAATCCTCACCATGGGGCACCAGAATGGGGGCTCTTGGGCCTTCAGTTTCTGGTCCCCCCTGGAGATCAGACATGGGCCTCCAAAGCCATGCCACGGTGACCTGAAAGACCCCGTCTACACTCCTCACAGGCTTGCACATACGGTGCTTTATTTCACAGAGCACCTGCAGCCGTGCGTGACACGTCACCTTCATGGGAAAAGAAAAGTACAACTAAGCCAAGAAATGTCCAGCTGCCCCAGAAGCAGCCCAGCCGTGCCAGGGGCCAGGGTCGGGGAGGGAAGCGAGCTGCTCCCTGGCCGGAAGGACAGCCCCTGAAGTGGACAGTCCCTGAAGCGTCCAGGCGTCCTGGTCCAGGCCCAGCTAGGCCTCAGAATCCCTCTCAACACAGCCCTCCCAGCCCCTCCTCCATCCAGTAGAGTCCCTGCTTCTGTGCATGACAGAGACAGAGCAGGTGGCAGCAGGCCAGGTGGAATGGAAAGAACCCGCACTGGGGGACAGATCCCTTTACTGTCATCATGGGGCCACAACCTGAGAAATGGAAGGTCCGTGGTCACTGAATGTCAGTTCTTGTCCCTGGCCGAGTGACTCGGCAGAAGGAACAAAAACGAAGTCCGAGCTTCAAACTGACCTTTTGGCAGCCTGTGCCTTTCATCTCCCTTTGGATGTCTCCAGACAGGAAAACTGATGTGCTCCCATGCCACCACTAGCTGGCGGGGACAGGAGCCCCATGCTGCATTTTAAGGAGTGCTGTGACACTCGTCACGAGCCTCAGCCCGGCGCCTCCTCCAGTTCTGACTCGGCACGTGGCTCCTTCCGGCCTGCAGCTCCAGACTCGCAGGAGATGCCTGCTGCATCAGCCACGGTCTGGAAGGGGTCCCCTTCACGGGCCCGAGTCTTGTCACCATGGAAACGGAGGACAACACCGTACAAACAGAGGACAACACCAGTCCTCCTGAGGGCAGGACCTCAGGAAAAAAACTGTCACCTGCTCTGTAATCAACCGACTTCTTCCCTACACAGTCATTACGTCTCCCGCCCCCTCCCTGTCACCATAGTCATCTATCACGCACGGGGGCCTGGGAGGAGCCTTTTGGTTTTATGGGCCCTCACAACCTTTTCAATTTTGGGACACAACTTTTCCTTTTCATAGCTTTGCATTTAGCATGAACGAGTTCCCTTGTTAAGAAAGTGATGATAGTCTCACACATTCATATTCATCCATTCAATAAATTTATTGAGGGAAGCCAGACACTTAGAATTCGTAAGTACTGGAAGAAACCCAGACGGAATTCCTCTCCTGTGTGACTCCGAGCCACTGGGACTGGCTGCCAGGAGGGCTGTGTTGAGAAGGATTCTGAAGCCTACCTGGGCAGAGTTTTAAAAAAGTTTTGACTAGTGATGCCTGTGAAACCACCCAGGCACCTCAAAGAGAAGGTGTCCCCTGCCACTGCTGCCGGCCCCATCCCACCAAGTCCACACGACACACTTTCCACGTGCAGCCTGCACCCCACTGCACCTCCGGGGTGACGCAGAGCTCAGGCTGCAGCTAAGCCTGGCCCCACCACTGATGGGCTGCGCATGCGCCGCTGCGCCACACTCACGGCTCTATTCCGTCCGTGCAAAATGCGGGTAGGAGCGGTGCCTTGCGGGACTGTCCTGAGCACCAGGGGTGATTCACCAGACACCCCAGCCCGCTCAGGCACAGGAGCTGACCCTGCCCTATCTCACCCCCTCTCGGCCGGGGCTCCAGGAGAGCTGGCCCTTTCTAGGAAAGTCCAGGGATTCCCTACCCCTCCCCATGTCATTCTGGTCTCTGCTGCTTCTCAATCTCCAACCTGAATGTCCTGAGCAACTCTCGCTTCTAGACCCTTGAGCTGACTCACGTTTCTCCATTGCTTTCTCCGCCAGCTTCAGCCTCTCCCTGACCTTCCAGCTCCTGCTCCTCTGGATGAAAGACCCACCCCTCCCTCCTGTCCTTATTTCTCCTTCCCCTCCCTCCCCCCTCCTTTTTTCTTCCCCCACTTTCTCATGGCTCCGTGCCAGGTGCTGAGAAACCTGGGAACAAGCCAGGTGGTCCCTGCCCTCTCGGGTGCAGCCCAGGGGGTTCTAGCAGGTGGACAGTGACCACACAGTGAGGGCTGGGAAAACAGGGAGCAGGGGGCTGGAGGGGACATGGGAGGTCCAGGGCACCAGACCCCAAAGAAATAAGAAGGAAAGGGAAAGGGTGCAGGGCCGGGAAAAAGAGTTGCAGGCTGAAGGCAGGGTGCTTGCAAGGGAAGGAATGTAACGGGGGCGGCTGCGTCCAAGGAACAGGAGCCAAGGCCGGGTTGGCGAGAGACAGGCAGGAGACAGGGAGAGAGGAATGCTCCAACGAAGCCACAGGGCAGGCAAGCACCTCGCACACCATGTTCAGGAGCCAGTACTGTGTCTGCGAGCCTAAAAGGACACTGTCTGGGTCAAGCCCAGCTCCACCACTTAGTAGCTCCATGACCTTGGCAATTTTATTAGTTTCTCTTATAATGGGTTTCTTCTTTCATAAAACAGGATAACAGAGAGCAATGATTTCACTGGGTGACTGTCAAAAGGAAGTGACATAGTGTCTGGCACACAGCGAGCATTCAGCGAACGTGAGCAGTGAGGAGGAGATAGAGGCAGGGGAATTCCAGAAATGTCCCAGGTCAACACATTCTTTCATTCAAACCAACCCCTCTCATCTCCAGAGTCTACTTTTCTTTAGAGACGGGGTCTTGCTATGCTGCCCAGGCTGGTCTTGAACTCCTGGCCTCAAGCAATCCTCCAGCCTCAGCCTCCCAAAGTGCTGGGATTATAGGTGTGAGCTACTGTGCCCGGCCACAAGTGTACATCTTAACCGGGATCTCACTCTCTGTGTAGAGCCATCTCCCCACAGCAAGGAATTTAGTCCTACCCCAGATCCAGGATTCCCCATGGTTCCTATACCAGCAGCTAGTGAGGGGGCTCACTCGCCAGGACTGGCAGAGACCTGGCTGCACGACCAGAGCCAAAGCAAGCCCTGGTGCCTCTGCAGCAACCAGGGAGTCATTCCTTCAAATACTCATTGCATTTGCCCCCGGTGGATGAACACCAGGGAATAAAACGGTGAACCAGACCAGTAAGATCACTCCCCTCATGCAGCATCCTTGCCCGACAGACAAGGAACAGACTCACAAACAGGAAAACGACAGGCAGAGAGAGGCGCTCAAGAGGACATTGAAAGGGTGAGGAGAGGGTATGGGGGACCCTCTGGCAGGGAATGCAAGGATGGTGAGATCTTAGCACTGGTGCCACCGGATTAAGACTGGAGCAGGACAGGCAGGCTGTTTGAAGAGCTGGGAGACGCATTCCAAGCAAAGGAAATCGCAAGTGCAAAGCGCAGGGCTGGGAGAGAGGACAAGCAGAGGGCGGGGCAGTGTGCAGGGAGCAGGAGAGGCGGGCAGAGCAAGGCCCACAGGGGCGTGGGCCAGGCGCCGCGTGGAGTTCCACGCTGATGTCTACGGGAAGCTCGGGCAGGAGGGAGGGACGTGAGTGACTCTGAAAGCCAAAATGTGAGATCCTGCTGGCAGGACTTTGATGGCTTCTCACCCGGCACCTCAGTGAATTTTGGTAAAGGCCACTCTGACAGTTTACATAGAAAAGCCAGGGGCCGGGCGCAGTGGCTCACGCGTGTAATCCTAGCACTCTGGGAGGCTGAGGCGGGCGGATTGCTCGAGGTCAGGAGTTCGAAACCAGCCTGAGCAACAGCAAGACCCCGTCTCTACTATAAATACAAAGAAATTAATTGGCCAACTAATATATATAGAAAAAAAATTAGCCGGGCATGGTGGCACATGCCTGTAGTCCCAGCTACTCGGGAGGCTGAGGCAGGAGGATTGCTTGAGCCCAGGAGTTGGAGGTTGCTGTGAGCTAGGCTGACCCCACAGCACTCACTCGAGCCTGGGCAACAAAGTGAGACTCTGTCTCAAAAAAAAAAAAAAAAAGAAAAGCCAGACTCCAAAGAATCCCTGATTGCATACTCCAGAGCCTATCACATAATACAGCTGTCCCCAGCGTTTTTGGCACCAGGGTCCAGTTTCAAGGAAGACAATTTTTCCACGGACTTGGCGGGGTGTGGAGCTCAGGCGGTGATGAGAACGATGGGGAGTGGCTGTAAATACAGATGAAGCTTGGCTGGCTCGCTCACCTCCTGCTGTGCGGCCGGGTTCCTAAGTTTCATGGAAGACCATGTGCATGGCCTGGTTCCTAACAGGCCACTGACCGGTACCAGGCCACAGCCTGGGGCTTGGGGACCACAGATACAATACATAGTCAGCCCCAATCCCCTAGCATTATCTCATAAGAAAGGAGCAATGTGTAGACAGCAGGAGAAACATTCGCTCTTAGGAGTGCAATAACTCACATGGACCAGACGTCGATTTTGGGGCCATACTTCTTCCTGGCGAGCAGCTCGGGCGCGGCATAGGCAGGGCTGCCACACTGTGTGCTGAACGGGTCGGAGTAACCCAGGACCCCTGCACAGTTGCTCAAACCAAAGTCTGCAAAGAGAGGAGAACAACACAAGTTCCGAATTAGGAAATTGCAGAAATGAAAAGGGAGTAAAAAAAAATAAAAAATAAAAAGAGGAGGGGGGAAAAAGGCATCAGGAAACATTCTCTCAGGCTAACACGTCATTTAGCATCCAAAAGGCAAACCCAGCAGCTGCAAACCATAACCTCTGGATATGAGTCTCAAGACAAAAGAATGTAGGTGGTGGTTCCCTGGCTGAGCTGGGAACATTGTACATGGGGCCTCACTGTAAAAGCTGGCGGGAGCTTAACAGTACCTTGAACTGAAACCTATTTTTTTTCATCCAATCTTGTAAATGAGTCATTCAGGAAAAAAAAAAAAGAGAGGCTTTGCTTTCTAGGACGAAGGCAGGAAGAGAGAACAAGCAGAGGGGCTCGGAGTTAGCTGACTTCCAAGTGGCCGCGTGGGGGAAAGATGGAGGAAGATTGATTTCTCGGGCTGGTGTCTGCGTCCCCCTCAGTGACACACGATCCGGCCATTTACAGTTGACTTCTTCAGCTGAATGTTTTCACTTCATGAAAGTCTTTTAAAAAATTCCCCCCAAAGGTATTCAGCACTTATGGCGATCTGAAGCAGGGAGGAAAAAAATATACTCCAGCCATTTAGAAAACCCTGAATGTTGGCTGGAAAAATAACACCGGAAAGATGGCCCCCCAAACTAGACTAAGTGACTGCATGGCGTTGCTTTGTTCTTGGATGATTAAGCCAACCAGCAAGAAGAAAGAAAGGCCCAGAGCATCTGAAGCTCTACTTTGGGTCTATTATGCCTTTTGTGCTGTGTTTACTTTTGATCTTGAAGATACTGCAACTGACAGGTAATTAGAGAGCTGTTAGTGTGATGCCCTCATCTGATATCTTTCCTCAATCTTTGTTGATCTCAGAATTAAGATCCCAGTTCATCCTTTGAACTTCAGTGTAAATATTATGGGCCTGCCCTCCCCAAACACAAGTCTCTCAGGCTGCAGGGCTCCAAGTCTTGAACAAAAACTCTCACGCTTTCTCAATCGGCACTATGTATGTCTAGTTCCGTGACTGCATTTTCTCCTTCCCTCCAACACATCTAAGCCTGCATCTGTGCCTGGCTATTGAGAAAGTTGCAGGAAAGCCGAGGAGAGGAGAAACAGGGTACAAGCCAGGACTGGGAGTCCGTGAAGTTACTCGCACACCACGGATCAAGATGACACAACTGAAAAGGTTTCCAACAGTCACTGGCTTAAGCTGTGTAATGAAACAGCTTTTCTAAAGAGAATCTCATCCAAGCAGAGCTCCAGAAACTCTGTCAGGCTCTGAGTATCACCCAAACTGCTGCATGTCCAAACACTTAACTCTTGTTGTTGTTGTATGATTCCATTTTCTCTCTCAACCTCCCTCCTCCTCCTCCTCTCTCCCTTTGCACCCACCCTCTTCCCACCCCCATTTCCTCTCCCATAGGCCCAGCGGGCACCAGGAAACAGCACAAATCCTGCACAAGAGAAGTCTTCAGGAGTGGTGGAGGGAGGCGGCTCTGCATGCCTATCTTAGGGGAAGATAACTTGTTACAAAGAACTGGAGGAACCCTGTTCTCAGACCCCACCCCCCAGTTAACTCGGAAGTGGGAGGAAAGAGGGGTGAATATTTTCATAAGAAGAAATATCATGTCCTGCTTTAAATTAGAACAGAGGTCCTCAAACTACAGCCCAGGGGCCCCATGCGGCCCTCTGGGTGTTTTGTCACCGCTGCCTGTCCTGCTTAGCAGCCGACTCAGTGCGCATGTGTGGAATGTGCGCTGCACTCTCCAGCGGTCCTCCAACGGTCCGAGGGACAGTGAACTGGCCCCCCTGTTTAAAAAGTTTGAGGACCCCTGAATTAGAGGATTGTTTCATTGTTTTCGGTTTGCAAATGAACCTAAAAGAATTTTAATCAATGGACAAATGCATGAATGCATAAAGAGCACCTACCGTGGGAAAATTCCGCCATGGGATAAAGATGTTATTATCTGGGGCAACATTTTAAGGAAAGCTTTATGACCGGTGATGTTAGTGGCCCAATCTCATTGGAGTCCCAGAAAATGTATCTCTAAATTTCTGAGATTAGAGAAAAAGGCTCTGTTCCTAATCTCAGCAGGGTTCTGTTAACAGCAGGGGAGGCCACATTCCATTCACTCCCTCATCTGCCCCCATCCCCCACCCTCACCCGCCCCTCCCCCTCCCCCCACCTGGGCCTAGAAAGAAGGGCTTATTAGCAGAAGAGGGCAGAGAGAGGCAAGATAAGAGACCAGATCTCCCTCCACATCCCAGGCAAGTTTGGGAACAGAGTCTGGCCTTATCTTAAACACAGTTTCGAGAAGATAAATTAGCCCAGGATTTGGGGAGTGGAGGAGCTAGAACTTGCATTTTAAGTGACTTATGCTGATACAGCCAAAAGGGCTTCATTTAAAATATATTGTAGAGAAACAACCAGTTCGTTTCACATTCATAATTGTTAATTATTAGAATTTTACACATCTGCCTATAATTAGAATTGTGCAACTAGAGAGAAGTTCACCTCCCAGCGATGTCATGTGGGCCTGCCTCGATTTGTTAAAGACATCAGCCAATTATCACTCCCTTTTCTGAGAGCTACAAAATGAATCTCAAGAACGCCCAGGTGAGCAGTGCTCTGGAATACTGAAGTGCAAAACGGTTCTAAGTTGCAGCTCTTCCATTTTAAGATTATACTAAATTTACCAAACATCAGACTGCCTTTTTTTTTTTTTGAAGGCAGAAAAAAAATCCTGATTAAATCAAATCTTACTCCTGGTAATCCTAGTTAATTTGAAACATGGTTTAAGTAGATTTATTTAAACCTTTCTTATTCAAAGAAAGAGAAACTATTAAGAGGAAATGATAATAGCTATAATCACCTTTGAAAAAACAACTAGGTAATTCCTTTGAAGACAAGGAGGTTCAAAGGGCTTTCAAGTTACAGAAAGACAGGAGTAGACACCTGTGATCCAAATTGCCCAACCCAAGGTAAGAAACCCCCAAGACAACTGGCCTTACTCCCCTAATAAACCAGGAAATGCAGATTCTGCCAAACAAAATGCAATTCCCACTTGCCCTCCTGGGTGGTGTAATGTCTCTCTCAGTGACAGGTGTGAGTTATGGCTGTTTAGAGTTAGCTGGTCATGAAAAACCTGGGAGCCAAGTGAAGAGTTCTAACAAAGGGAAATCCAATTATCAGAGCCTCCTGTCCAGCAGTTTCAGGAATCCTGGTTTCTGACTGGGCCTGTTTCACCCCATGACCTGAAACGCCTGCTTCAGTGCCATCCACAGGTTGTCCCCACTGCGAGGCAATGACTCTGAGAGACTGGAATGAAACGGTTCCCAGCATCCAAAGAGCAACCATCACACTCGCTGAGAGGACTGTGGGCTGTAATTTAGATGTGTAATTTCCTCACTGACTTGCATACGTCTCCTCTAAGCGGTTTTATTATACAGCCAATCTGTGAGCTACTTATCAACGTACCCGCTGTTCACCGTGATTGGTTCTTCCAGAATCTACCAAAGAAAGTGTCTGTGCTTGTCGGCACTGCTTATTCCCCAGGATGGGTCTATAAATGGTCACCCAGGGCTGTCACTTGAGGAGAAAGTAGAGAAAGCAGAGCAGAGAGGGGGGCAAAAGTGAAGGAAGGAAACAGGACGGGCAGTGCCTGATGGGGAGGTGGACTGCGCTTGGCACGACTCACCAGCCTCAGTCTACACCATGCCTGGGGAAGTGAATTACTCTCACTTTTACTGGAATGTGAATTTAGCCTTTGCAAAGCCTGGCCTCTTACAGTCTCTGCTGCTGTTAGAACAACTCTGTCACTGTCACCTCCACATCTTCCAAAGACAAGGTGTAGGTCCCTTTACCTCCATTCCTCCCACCCCACCAAGGAGGCTCCTCTGTCTAACACTCTAGATCCCGGAAATGAAAACCAGAGAGGCATCCTGGGAGCATTTCAACACAGGCCTTGTTCCTGGCTTCCGTATTTGGCCCTCAGCTAAAGTGCGATAGTAAAACAATTTAACAGCAACAAAAAAATATTCTTTGGATTATCCAAGAATCTTCTAAGAATAGATTCTTTCCAATGCTTTTGGGCAAAAATTGGTTTCCTCTTCATGGTCAATCTTCTCTTAACCAGTGTATCTATCAACACCTGTAAGTGGTGTTTAATCACCCAGTCCAGGGGTCTGTGTAGCCTCTTGCCTGTTACCGGGTTGGGAGCTGCGATTCCAAGGTATATAATAAGTCACTCGAAAGATATATTTTGGAGAGTCTTGAGATGATTATCAGCATTTGCCAAACAAAAGTTCCTGGGTACCAAAGTTAAATGCTCAAAGTTCTTCTTTTGCTTCTTCTCTTTTTCCCCTAATATAAAGTCTTTTCAAGCCATGAAGGCAGAAGAAATTACTTACATTTGAGGTGGGAAAAGAAAGAAAAGAGAGGAATAAAAGATGGTGCTGTCTAATATCTGGGTGTAAAAATGATGTCTTCAGATTTTGCCAAGAGCAACCATCTAGGCAAAACACAAAAACAAACAAACAAACAAATAAAAACCCTGAATTCTTCTAGAGAATGAGCATGTGGGCCTTGAATTATGAACCAGCTATGACTTACTCTGTCATGGAGCTTCCTTCCGATTGGTAGAGAATTCTAATTATCCCTCTGCAAGGCCACCATTGGCCATTGTACCACAGGGCTCTGATACAGATTGTATTGAAGAGAGAAGGTGAGTTGCATTCCCCTTACTCTGGGCTTCCCAACATTCATTGAAAAGTGGAATAAGACATGGTAAATCTATAGGCAGCATTTTTGTTTGCAGACAAACAATTTTCTGTTATTTTTAAGAAGTTTTCCAGTTAATCCAAATAAAAGTAACCTCTTTAAAGCTCAGCTCCATCTGAATTTATAGAGAAGCTATAGTTGGAATAATCTAAAGAAACATATGTCCAACAAATATTTATTTGGGCCCGTGAAATTCAATTCATAGTCACATTACAGTATTTTATCTTCCTAATTATGCTTAAATTATTATTAAAATTAATTTTCATTTTCAAAACCATTGTTACATATCAGAGGTAAAAGGAGGT